TCAAGTAAATCTGTGTAACACATATATTAAGTTTATAAAATCAATAACTTTTAAAAACTTAATATGTAGCCATTAACAATGACTGGTCATTAAAATCAATTCTTGTTTGTCGTACAATATATATAATTTTATTGTAATCTCTATTAAACTATTGATACACTATCAAGTATAATTTATTGAATCTCGAAATTTTTAAACTTCGACCTTGATTTATTTATTGAACTCCATGTCACATGGAAATGTAGTAGGACTCATAATAGAACTTGTGGAGATTCTTTTAGGATTTTATTAACATTGATAGTTCTTCTATGTTAGATAATCGTGTTGAAAATCTACAAGTATTGAACAACTGTTTCGTCGGTTAATACATACAGTATTGGTATTTTATTCCTACATTATATTATCTGTGTGTCAAATAAATCTGTGTTAGCATCTCTTAAGGATATATTAGTTGATACTGTGGTGCGAGCTACTCATAAGTAGTATATGATGTGAGTGTCAACGTAATGTCTGGCAGCAGAAGATGGGGGAAGATCAAGAAACGAAGAGTTAGAAAACAATGGAATTTGTATGAAACGCATGAATAGTGACAATGGATTGATGTTTTGCAACAGGAACAGTCCAGTTCGATATGATGAACTGATATTTTGCAATTAACGATTTACGATATAGTGTTCCGATTTTACTGAGTAACTCTGTAATTCTTGTTAAAAAAATTCGGTTGCCCCACCTGTGTTCTCCTTCACTACAATACCACTTCTCATGAAGCATAAATGCTGTGACAATTGTAAGCGATTCTCGTTTATAGGTGCCAACTAGTATTGAAACTAAGTTCAAGAGTATCTACTCACTATATTCAACCACTTAATATCTAGTAGTTTAGACTAATTATCATGTTGAAACTTCGTTGCCAGAGTCCGGTATAAGTAAGCACTAAAAATATATATACCATATAAAATAAAGCGATAACATTGTGATAAGAGAGATATTAGGGGTGTAGGAAGGATTTGATTTTGACCAATTTGCTCTCGCGTGCTGCTGACGAGTGGACTTAGCCATGTCGGTAATTGTCGACTACCTACCTGGTTGGGGTCCGCGAGATGATAATAATCGATGGTTAGAGACCCTGAATGAGATGGCTCAAAATCGTTCGCAATGGCGCCAGTGCATTTATTCTTTGTGTTCTCTCAAATCGTAATCTTCTGAGTTCTTCAACACCTCTAGTTTTGACTTTCTAAACTTTTCTCACTAAATCATACTTGTTGAATAATATCTTCTAATCCTAACCTCTCCGGTTACTTCTAATACCTTTACTACCTCTACTACTATTGGATTTGAATTGACAATTACATCTCTGTGTGCTAATGTGGTATGGCAACATGAACTGATGTACTTACGTACGAAGTTCTACGTTGCATCTGACTGACTGACTGATAACATTGTGAAAAGGTATAAGGAAAAAAAACGGAAGGGCGAGTATAATGCACAAAAGTTACCAAGAATACTACTGTTCAGCTGAGACAGTTCTTTGCATTTTTTGATAAAGATTGTAAAAGAACATTGTTTCTGAATTCCTATTGACTTTTATTTTCATCCAGATCTATTAACGTCTTAAACAATTTAAATACATCATCTCTAAGATTCCAATCAGTAAGTCTTCATAAAGAGCCAATAAATGCTAACCCTATATTGGATTTTCATGATATCATAGTGAGTTGTCATAAACTGACTAACTTTTTTCCTAGTCTCTGTGTCGGCAATTAGTGAAGGTCACTTTTCAAAGACACCGAATCCAATGTTTCGAGATGGTGAAATTGATTGAATTATCGTCATTCTTTCCAAACACATATTGCTGAACTTCAAAATGACTAACATAAAGTTGTCACTGAATGTTAGCGATTTTCTGGAGAAAATGATAACTGAGCAAAGAGATTCCATAAATATCCTCAATTCAGAGAGATCAGGTTTCGCAATCATAAAACAATGACTTCCTCAACCAATGTATTATAAACCCAATCTTTTAAAAAAACAGACTAATATAATGAAGGCACTGAAGATAATTTAGATTTTTATAAAATCACTCTAAACTTCACAAAACGATCTTATCAGTTACCCTATCACTATCACTCACACAAACGTCTAGATACCCGACCGTAGCTGCTACCTTGACGTGGTGGTCGGGCTTGCCTATCGTGATGACCCAACCGAGCTATACTGGCTGGAACATATGTTCCTGCAGGTCCTACCATGCCAGGCAGGTCGATTGGAGAACGATGAGACTAAAAGCAGCTACCCAAGGTCTGAGGGCGAAGTCGTACTGCTGACTGTAGAGGGGTGTGACATCAGTAAGGTGTTTCCCTCGGACAACCAGCATCTGCAGCGATGCTGCCTTCTCACAAGGAAGGAAGGGTTAGGAAAGGTCGACCGTAAAAATGTCACACCTCCCCTAACTCACGGATTTCCGTCTCCTTGGGTAAGGGTGCCCACTAAGGGCTTTTAAGAACGGAGCTAATCCTCAAACGTCTAGATAAATTAACTATTCAACTAGATCCAATGGTTTATCATGAAAACCGAGTACAAAGACACGCCAATCTCGGTCTTGCAAAGGTATTTTCCACCTAGAAATGAGCAAAGTATAAGTTATATTTATGAACAAAGTAGTTTTGTCAACACCTAAAGATATTCTCATGATACAGTTGTGAAGATCGTTGAGTTTTATTGAAATGATGAATCGACCAACCTTAGAAACCTGGAAGCAATGGATGGTCATTTTGTGCTACTGTGAAACTCTTCAGTAGTGTTCATCAACGATCACCACCAGCAATAATCAAAACCAGGACCTTCAGTCTCTTGCACAAACGCCTAAACCCTAGACCACTGAGCTGCCATCATCCAACAGTGTTAGGGTATGACTTCAGTCAGTGCACAATATTACGCAGCTCCACTCATTGGCTCACACCTGGCAGGGTCAATCTCCACTGGTCACACCTTTTCATTAGTGAGTTTATTTTATGACTTTAATTATACAGTTAACACACGAGATCGACAGCCTTGTGTTCGATCCCCGCGAGCTGGAGTTGTGCATGCGCATTGCTGATGAGTCCCATACTAGGATGAAACGGTCTTTCTAATGGTGGCCTAAGAATGATCGATAATTAAGGTTTAATCTAACAAACAATACACTGGATAGGAGGAACAGAACAGTGATTGATCATATTTTTCTGTTTGTATAATTATTAATTGTGCAATCTATAACCATTTTTAATCACGTATTATATAAATAGATTTTTATTTGATATTTTCCTGATTGATCAATTTCAAAGTGATTCTATTTATTTAATATACTTGTATATTAATTCATTGTTTATTCTCATCTCATTACATAAAGACTAAGCATTAAACTACTTACATGTATATATGTGTGATTTTTAGTTTATAAAAGTTGAAAGATTGAACCATTGAACTTGAATTATCGTCAGATACAATAAAATATGAACAAATGCGACTGCTATTTTTGATTTAAATAATTTTATTCCAAACTATTGAAATGGTGAATAGATCGCAGTTCAACCATTATCAGGAATCAATCTGTCAGCACTGGATGGCCGTTTCACCACGGTATGAGACTCATAAGCAGTGTGCATTTATGACCCCTCCCCTCGTGAGGATCGAACACAAGGCAACTGCAGTGATGGTGCCTTCTGACAAGAAAGGGACCGGTTAAAAACATTCGACTCTAAAAATGTCACATCAAACAGAACGCCACGGATTCCCGTCTCCGGCGGTAAGGCTATTCGAAGAGCCGAGGTAACACGTTAACTTCGCATAAAACGCTGTGGGTTACGGGCCTTAAGCAATTGTTCCTTGAGTTTCGCGGTAACTATTCTGACTAAAAAAAATAACTTACACCTATTACCCCCGATGGAGCTTAAGCAGAAGCCGACCAGCATTCTCCAACCTACTCTGTCCTGTGCCTTCCTTTCTAGTTTTATCCAATTGTTGTTTATTCATCTCACATCTGTCTTTATTTCTCGGCACAGTGTGTTCCTTGGTCTACCTCTTTTCCTTTGGCCTTGAGAATTTCTAGTGAGGGCTTTTCATGTGACGCAGTCGGATGATTTCTACAGTGTTATATCCTATCTACCTCCAGTGCTTCTTCCTGTTTTTTTCATCCGCTAGATGCTGGTTTGTTCTCTCCCAAAATAGGTTGTTGCTGATCATGTCTGGCCAACGAACTCGAGGTATTTTGAACACACAATTGTTGATAACCACTTTTATCTTCCAGATGATGACTTTGGTAGTTCTCCAAGTTTCCGCCCCATTATCTCGTCATTTCCACAGCAAATTGAATGACTCTTCCGGTCTCCTACAATGTACGAACATTCTTTGTACCTAAATTAATGGTTGCTCTGGTTGTCAGAAGTGGCATTGGACTCGTGACTTCCAAAGAAATTCGGACATCATAACTATTCTAAATGAAGACCTTCTAACTCTCAGGGCAGAGTTTGAATCGGCATTTTTTTAAAGAGTTAGTTTTCTACGAGATGGGGTCGCTAATCCAACCCTCTTCCTTTATCCGGTCTTGAGATTGGCAGTAGCCCCAGAGGGTCTCCAGGAGGAGTTATATATACATATTCATATTCTAACTCGTCTTCATCTATTATAGTACTAGTGTGGTGCGAGCTACTTATAAGCAGTATATGACGTGAGCGTCAACGTAATGTTTGGCAGCAGAAGATGGGGGGAAGATCAAGAAAGGAAGAGTTAGAAAACAATGGAATTTGTATGAAACGCATGAATAGTGACAATGGATTGATGTTTTGCAACAGGAACAGTCCAGTTCTATATGATGAACTGTTATTTTGGAAATGAACGATTAACGATATGGTTTTCCAATTTTACTGAGTAACTCTGTAATTTTCGTTAAATACAATTCGGTTGCCCCACATGTGTTCTCTTTCACTACACTAGTAGTATATATCAATAAGAATGAAACAAATAGCTTGTTAAAATTATTTTTTCTTTCTTTCCTAATGAATTTAATACAATCGATTTTATGTTTGTGTTAAAGGGACAGTTTCAACTTTATCACTGGTTACCTTCTTATCTTTTTTGATTAAATGTCTACTAGGTAATGGTAGCGCATATGGATGCGTATCTAAACGAGTCCATTTTTCACTTAATCTCCATAATAATTCTAATGCTTCACGTCGATCGTCAGTCATTTCATTCACTGGTTTTGATGGAACAAATAATCTTAAATCTTGATAGATTGGTGCATTATTCACAATTGAATTCGGTTGATGATGATTGTTTGAATTATCATCAACTACTGTTGAATTGTTCATTGAAGAAGAATCAGCTGTTGTACAAAATAAACTAGTAGTTGATGCTTTACGACTAATTAATCGTGGACAAATATCAATTAGCATGTACATTAATTTCCATAAACCATTGGCATTTGAATATTGTTCATCTTTTTCCGGACTTAAACCACGTGTAATGTGAGGATCTACGACTAGAATGGAAGCTTTTTTACCTTGAATTGAAGAATTACGACGTGCAAGTTCACTAAAATAAAAACAATAATAATGATAATAACTCACGTTCGAAAGAAAAAAATATTTTAAAAATAGATATACACAAATAGAGTTTAGATTTAATAGTTGAGATGAAGAACTGATTCTTAATTAAACCCCTATTAAAAATAACCATTTCATTCTTGTATGGGACTCTTCAGCAGTGGCTAGCTATGACCTCCGCATACGTGAGTCAAACTCAACGCTGAAACTTAATTAAGATCACACTTGACGGAGAAGTTTTGTATAATGCAAAAACCTATGTATATCTAGGCCGCCTAATTGATGAGCAAGGTGAATCTGATGCCGATGTGAAGGCAAAGATTGGCAAAGAAAGGGTTGTGTTTCCACGATTGAAGAACGTCTGAAACTTAAAATTAACTACCAGCCAACACCGAAGTGACAACCTCTTGGTGTATTCCCAATTTGAAAAGCTATCATTCTAATATTCAAGTTGCAACTAAAATGTTGTAGGATTGAAATATGTTTATTGATTATTCACTACGATTTATTCAGTGGGGTTGATCAATGCAAGTGTTGATCAGTAAAATAAGATAATTCAGTGGTGCGTTTGGTCAATCAGTCAGTCAGCCAGATGAAACGTACAATTTCATATGTAAGTACATCAGTTCATGTTGCCATATCACATTAGCACAGAGATGTAATTGTCAATTCAAATCCAATAGAAGAAGAGGTAGGTAGTAAAGGTATTAAAAGTTATCGGAGAGGTTAGGATTAGAAGATATTATTCGAGAAGTATGATTCAGTGAGATAAGCTTAGAAAGACAAAACTACAGGTGTTGAAGAGTCCAGAAGATTAGGATTTGAGAGAACACAAAGAGTAAATGCACCTGCGCCATTGCAAACGATTTTGAGCCATCTCATTCAAGGTCTCTAACCATCGATTATTATCATCTCGCGGACCCCAACCGGGTAGTCGACAACTACCGACATGGCTAAGTCCACTCGTCAATGACTTCATGGATTTATGCCATGTTTTGGTTTGGCCGCCCCTAGCTTTCGTCCAACCTATTCCTACACTGCAAAACAAAGCTCGTCGAGGCAGTCGGTGGTTAGGCATACTCAGCACATGTCCTAACCACCTCAACTGATGAAGTTTCAGCACTTCATCTATTGACCTGCCATCCTTACCTAGCACCTGTTTCCTAATAACAGCGTTGCTCACTCGGGTGTCCCAGGATACATGAGAAATGCTTCGAAGACACCTATGATCGAAAACCAATAACCTACGAATATCTTCTACTCTCACTGTCCATGTTTCACAGCCATAAAGTAAGACGGAGCGAACTACTGCACAGTACACTTGTCCTTTAGTACGTTTGGACAAGTACAATTACTGTTAACATTATTCTTCTTGTATCTTTCATTTAAATAAATCACGAGAAAAAAAAAAGAAAAAGTACCGGTCATCTAGGATATCACATTAATTTAAACAATCATGTGATCAGCTCAATAGGTGTTAGATAACTAATCCTTTGAGTTTTGTTGAAATCCATAAAACGATCAATGTTAGATCAGCGTCGAAAACCTAGGAACACTGGACGGCCGTTTCGTCTTAAAATGAGACTTCTCAGAAGTGGGTATTCATGACTACCGTACGCAGCAACCGAACTGAAGACCTTCAGTCTGGTGTGCGGATACTTAAAACCTTGACCACTGTGTGGACATCCATCTGTGTTAATATCTTACCTTAATAAATCCACGATATTTTAAGACCATCATCTATTAACTCCACTGATCACAGCTTCTCACCAGAATTCCAAAAAATTCAAGAGGTTAAATGGTTAAACATCTACTCACGAGACCAAGGATCCTGGGTTAGATGGCCCATTTGCGCGTTGGTGGATGAGCGCTACTAAATAGTCTCATACTAGTAACGAAACATCTGTTAAGTGTTTTCAGGTTTTCAATAAAACTCAACAATCACCACAATTCTAATTCACGTGTCAAGTTAGTTACAACGTAGAGCTACGTACGTACGAACATCACTTCAATTTGCCGTACCACATAAGCACAAAGAAGTCGAATTTTCAATTCAAATCCCTTAGTGGTAGAGATAATTGAAGAAATTAAGGTTCAGAGATATTATTCAAGAAGTATAATGTAGTGAAATGAATTTAAAAGAGAAGAAAAAGGTCACGAGGGATTTAGAAGATTAGGATTTGCGAGAAGACAAATAATGGATACATGTGTGCCATTGCAAACGATTTTGAGCTTAGTCAAACATTCGTAGATTGCTTGTATTCGATCATAGGTGTCTCCAAAGCATTGCTCGTATATCCTGGGACAACCTAGTAAGCAATGCTGTCGTTAGGAAACGAGTACTAGGTAGGGATAACAAATCAATAGATCAAGTATTGAAACTTTATCAGTCGAGGTGGTTGGGACATGTGTTACGTATGCCCGACCACCGACTGCCTCGACGAGCTATGTTTTGTGGTGTTGAATGAAAGTTAGGGGCAGCCAAACCAAAACATGGCATAAATCCATGAAGTCACTGACAGGTAGACTGAGTCATGTCGGTAGGTGCCGACTACCTGGTTGGGGTCTGCGAGATGATAATAATCGATGGTTAGATACCCTGAATGACATGGCTCAAAATCGTTCGCAGCGGCGCAAGTTCATCCATTCGTTGTATTCTATCAAATCCTAACCTTTCACTAGATTCTACTTCTTGAATTATATCTTCGAACCCTAATCTTCTCGATTACTGCTAATACTTCTATTATCGCTACCACGATTAGATTTGAACTGACCTGTGCTAATGCGGTATAGCAATCTGAACTGATGTACATACGTACGTACATACGAAGTTCTGCATTGTATATGTCTATCTGTCAAGTCATTTAAAGTCTCTAATCATCGGTTACTATTGTCCTCAACCTGGTAGTCTATACTTACCATAATGGCTCACAGTCCAGTTGTCACTAATATATATATATATATATATATATATATATATATATATATTTAAACAATAAAGTCTAGAGAAAATGAAATATCAACCAAAGACAAATGGGTGAGGTCACGCAAAATCCCTAGATCAATCAGAGTTAGACATTAACACCGTTGGATGTCACCGGCCCAGTGGTCCGATGGTAAGGCGTTCGCCTACAATGCCAAAGGTCCCGGGTTCGAATCCTGCGAGGAGCAGGAGTCGTGGATGCGCACTGCTGATGAGTAGTCCCATACCAGGACGAAACGGCCGTCTTTCAGTGCTTCCAGGTTTCTAATGGTGATGGTCTAACAATGATGATTGATTAATAATTTCAAATGTGTAAAAACTAAATCAATCAATCAGTAAAAAAAATATTATTCACTTACTCTGCAAACATTAATAAAAACCATTGAGCACGTTGATATGCTTTCTCTGGTGTATATTCATTTTTATTTTCCCAATTAATATTATTTAAAGGTATGGTAATTTTTGTTGATTTCAATTGTTCATCATCATTATTATTAGTTATTTGACTGGTTTGATACAGGTTAGCATTTTTTGTATCAATCACTAAAATTAATCGTCCTTGATTTTCATTTAATCGACCGATTAATAGACGACTTAATAAATAAGCAGAAAAATAATTTACACCTAATTCTTGTTCAAAACCATCTGGTGTAAAACGTTGTTTTCCACTAATAATACTAGTTACACATGATGGTGATTGAATAATTGCTGAGTTTAACAATGGAAAATCAACTAGTACACCGGCAACAAAACGACGTATTGATGTTAAACTATTCATTTCTAGCCGTCGACATTCTAACATGTCAGATTTCACGCCGTATTTACGTATTAAACGTTCACGTAATTCATCACATTTATCCCAATCGTTATTAGCTAAAATAAGATGTGCACCTTGTTTAGCTAAATTATAAACTAATTCTCTGGATGTTTTAGCTATAAAAAAAGAAAAAATAGTTTTGTGTTAGAATATGGCGGCTGTCTATTCAATAGTTTTACATGTAATAATGTTAGGAGATTGATCCAATATCGTAAAAGAGAATTATTTGTAGGTCGTAGTTCTATTGGTCGCCTTAACTACCAATGTTGTTTCCTATTCGATCTAAATGTATATATAAGCACTATCTGTAACGTTTTATGACCTGGACGCGGACACTAGTCCGGGATTCTGATTCTCTTCTGGACTCGGACCTTGTACTTTCTGGATGTCTGTATAATACATGTCCTACTTAATATCAAATCTTCTTCTTTTACTCAATGAGGGGTTTGGTACAATCGGATTAGAGTAACCTGTCGTGTCGCTGGATCCTCCGACTGAGGTAAACTAGTAATAGTTCAAGCATATCAAATGACGTGTTTACGTGCATGCGTGACAAATATACAATTTTAAAAAATTGATACGGAGAAAAACTGACAACACACAACAGACTGTATTATAACACCATGAGTTTAGATGGGGTTTAAAATGAAATTTGCGAAATTTTATTTCGTCATGGATTATTCATAACTACAGCTAGAGCTCTTCTAGGGTTACCGCCGGTCTCAAGCCCGAATTAAGGAGGAGAGTTGAACATGGGGTTGGCGACCGCATCCTGTAGAAATCCAACTCGCTACAAAACGCTAACTAGGAAAATAATCCGCTGATCGGTGGCTCATGCTCCATTAGAGGTAACAGGCGTGAGTAAGTAAGTAATGAATTAGTCATAATCCAGGCAACATAAATAATTCACTATAGAATACTGAGACAGATTTTGAACGTCTAAAATCGAATTTTCGGGTATCGTCGAAAATCGTACTACACAATCTACCTTGATTGAGACGACAAACAAATACACATCGTTAGCTATCATTCTTTGAATAGTGTTAAATGCACTTAATCAACAGTTTCCATTTCAGATACAATCGACATTATATGGATCCATCTAGTGGAGATCGAAAATCTTCATTCCAAACCAATGGTGTACATCGGCTTGAGGGTGTTAGGATATTCACCAAATATCCTAAGAAGAATCATTTTGTTAGTATAAATTCGACTGTCGATTCCTCTTGGTCAATATTGTGATCGTCCTAGCTATTCCTGTCACGTACTCAAATGTTGTTTCCTATTGGTCGTCTTAACTGTCAATGTCACAGACTTCGATGCTGTTTCTTATTCAACCTAAATGTATAAATACGCGTTATCTGTAACGTTTTATGGATCGGACGCGGATTCCTAGTCCGGGATCCTAATTCTCTTCTGGACTCGGACCTCTTACTTTCAGGATGCTTGTAGAATACATGTTCTACTTCATATCAAGTCTTCATCCTTTATTCAATGGAGTTTGGGACACTCGTATTAGAGTAGCATGTCGTGTCGCCGAATCATCGCCTTCGTTTTCCGACTAAGATGAACTCGTAATAGCTCAAGCATATCAAATGACCTGTTTACGTGCATGCATAACAGAGGGAACAAACGGCGTACAAACCTAGTACTGATCACTGGTTATCATTGATTGGTGTGATGTAAAATATTCAGATGACCTTTCGTGTCAATGTTCAAGTGTTTGGCAGTCAGTTACAACGTAGAACTTTGTACGTACATACATCATTTCAAGTTGCCATACCACATTAGCACAGAGACGCAACTGTCAATTCAAATCCCATAGTAGTAGAAGTAGTAGCAGTAGTCGGAGAGATCAAAGTCACAGTAGTTTGAATTCCGGATGAAATCGAATAGTAGTAACTGTTTCACATCCGACACAATTGAACTCTACTGATCACAACTTCTCATCAGAACTCTGACAGTTGCCTCACGAAGCTAGTCACTAATGAGCAGACAAGATAATCAATCAGTATCAGATTGTGGAAACTGATCCGTTTTGTGAAGAGACTAAGCGTTCACGCGTGAGATCAAAATATACCTGGTTCGAATCCCGCATGGGAGTGTCGTGGATGCACAAAGCTGACAAGTGTCATATTAGGACACAAAACAGCCATCTAATACTCCTAGGTTTTCAATAGTAGTTGAGCATTGAGCAATCCATGATATTCAATGACTTTGTCGATAAAATTTGCATGAGTAGATTCTTGATCCTAATTCATTAATTTACCAGCAACATATTAGCATGGAACTTGACTGTTAAATCAGTTTATACTGGATAGATTAAACAGTCAGTGAGCATCAACGTAGAACTTCGTACGTACGTCAAGTCAAGTTGCCACGCCACATTAGCACTCACAGATGGAAGTGTCAATTCAAATCCCATAGTGGTAGAAGTATGAGTGGTAATGTAGAACATTGATCCATATAACTGAATGGTTACTACATTCTGGAAGAAAGCTAGGGGTGGCCAAACTAAAACATGGCACAAATCCATGAAGTCATTGACAACCGGACTGAGTCATGTTGGTTAGGTGTAGACCACCTGATTGGGGTACGCGAGACAATAGTAACCGACGATCAGTGACCTTGAATGACACTGCTCAAAATCGTTTTCAATGGTGCAGATGCATCTATTCTTTGTGTTCTCTCAAATTCTAATCTTCTGCAGTTCTCATGACCTTTCTTCTATCTTTTTAAGTTTATTTCACTGCATTATACCTTTCGAATCATATCTTCGAACCCTATTCTTCTCCATTAACGCTAATACTTCTACTATCTCTACTACTATGGAATTTGAATTGACAATTGCATCTCTGTGTGCTAATGTGGTATAGCAACTTGACCTAATGTACGTACATAAGTACGAAGTTTTACGTTGTAGCTGACTGACTAAATGACTGATGTATAAATGGTCTTTAGAATTTGGAAAACATGAATAAGATATATTTTTTCAATGGATCCCCTATAAGACTCTGTATATATTAATGTTGCTCTTCTACTTATTTGTAGATTACGTGTTTCACGTGTCAAAAGGTCCAAAAGCAATTCCCCTTAAGAAAGATCTTTGTATAAAAACAACAATTTAACACTAGAAAATGTATTCACAATACAAACAATTTAAGACAAAAAAAAACTTACCACATGGTTCAGTTATTATAATTGGTTTACTTTGTAAATCTCTTATTGGTCCATTGTATGATGGTAAAGATACGAATAATTTATATCCTAATAGACCACTACCTGTAAATGTACATAATAAACTGATAGCTTTAACAGCTGTTTTTAAACTGATCGGTTTTCTAACTGGTGGCAAAGGTTGAACCTAAAAATAAAAAAATTTCAAAATATATATACATATACATATATGTAGCAGATAATAAACAAATAATTATTGGAAAACTGAGGATGAAGTCTGATGATTGCTAGAAAAAGAAATCAACCAAAAAAGTGATCTCTTACATGCATTACTTACCTACTTACGCCTGTTACCCCTAATCGAACATAGGTCAGCGATCAGAGAATTATTTTTCTGGTTAGTGCTCTTTTTAGCAAGTTGGATTTCTAAAGGATGAAGTCACCGACTCCATGCCCAATCCTCCCCTTTAATCCGAGCTGGAAACCGACAGTTAACCTAAAAGGGCTCTAGGCGGAGTTCTTGCACGAATTATTTACAACTACAATACTCAACGTTACATAAAATCGAGAAAATAAAGGTCTGATTCGGTCCCTTCAGTCTGTGATATTGTATAGATGATTCGAATCCTTTAAGTTTTATTTCGTCAAGTCATTCATTCAGTCAGTTACAATGTACAACTTCGTACGTACGTACGTACAGTAGGTGAAGTTTCTATACCACATTAGCACACGTAGATGGAATTGTCAATTCAAATCCCATAGTAGTAGGGGTAGTAGAAGTAGTAACAGTAATCGAAGAGAATCCAGAGGATCAGGATTTGAGAGAAGTAGAAGAGTGGATTTACCTGCGCCATTGCAAATGATTTTGAGCAGTGTCATTCAAGGTCTCTAACCACCGATTGCTATCATCTCGCGGACCCCAACTACGTAGTCTACACTTACCAACATGACTTAATCCAATTGTGAGTGACTTCATGGATTTTAGCTTTCTAACCTATTCCTACATCGCAAAACATAACTGGACGAGGCAGTTGGGCCTTCGTAGCACATGCCCAAGACCTATCAGTAAACATCTCGAATAGGTTAGTTATGTTACAACACAGAAAGAATACAATATATAGGACGTATTCATATTATTTTTCAATGTAGAATTATTGAGATTATTGAGTTTCATTGAAATAATGAATTGGCCATTGTTAGACCACCATTAGAAACACAGAAGCACTGGACGGTCGTTTCATCCTAGTATGGTACTGTTCAGCAGCCGACTCAGTGGTCTAGAGGTTAGGTTTTCGCGTGCGAGACTCAACGTCCTGGATTCGACTCCCACGAGCAAGGGTCGTGGATACGCTGGCATACAAATACTACTCTTATTAATCATGAATAATGATGATTTGTAAAGATTATGGTATGAATTAAGGAAAGTTTCTTTTTCACAAAGTGTGGAACTAACCAGTTTGGAATTCCCTTTTGTAATGAACAGTGGTTATGAAGAGTTCTAATCAACATTACTCGAATAGAATTGCACTAAAGACTTTCAAATCGAATGAATGATCATGGAAGATGTGAATTCCATTTGATTTCCCACTGAATAGTTTGATAATAATGTTCATTGTGAAAGTTAATGGGAAGCTGTGAACGCGCACACTACTGATGAATTCCCAAGTTTGAGAGTAACTGTTTTAATGATCTTCCGAATGGAATCAGTCCATTCTCGAGAAACATTAAACATTTGATTCAAAAAAAAACTTAAAACAACAACACATGATTCACTGACATCAGAAGCTCTTAGGTGCATGGATAATCTTTCTTTGTAACCTACTGTTTAACAGTAGTAGTTGTTGTAGTAGTGTAACGTACAAAGTAAATACTTGATAGACTTAATATATTTGAAGAAGACAGTTTATTTTAAAAAGTATGTTCATCCAGTTTTTAGACTTCCATTTGAAATATAACCAGATGGTTAACTGTTTGCTGATTACCAATAAGTTTCATTGAAATCACTAGTGACTAGCTTAGCGATGACATTCTCGGAGTCCTAGTGAGAAGCAGTGACCAGTGGAGTCCAACCCTGTTGGGTGTAGGCAGTAACTACCGTAGGCAATGGGTGAAGTTGAGCAATACCTTGAACTAATTGAAGTTAGGTATTAACACCGTTGAATGCCGACTCAGTGGTCTAGATGTTAAGCGTTCGTGCACCTGACCGAAAGCCCTGGGTCCGATACTAGCATGCGGAGGTTGCGGATATGTACTACTTAAGAGTCTCTCTCATACTAGGATGAAACAGCCATCCATTTTCTAATGGATCATTTCGTGATTTCGGCTATGAAAATGTGAGTCACTCATTTTGAATCATTTTGCTTATTATTTTTTCGACTTGCTAAATGCATTTCAGAGTTTTGAAAAGTAATGGACATTTGCACCCTTTTACTTCATCCTGGTGGTTGACTGGATTATGAAAACTTCAACGTCTCAAGGGAATCAAAGGTTAAAGTGGAAAACTCAGATGTAGACAGACGATTTGGACTTCACACATCACCTAGCTCTTTTATTCCACACACACACACAGCAACAATAATCGGTAAAGACAATCGATGAAGTAGCACCTCTGCAGCAGGGGAACAGTGAGTTTTAAATACAACACAGTAAGCACCAAACAAATCAAACTTCATGGAGCTCTCCAATAAGTGAAAACGTCTACGTAACTGGACAGCACCATTGATAAACAAACAAGGTGGATCTGATGCAGATGTGAAGATACGGATCAACAAAGAAAAGGAAGCATTTCTACAGTTGGGAAACATCTGGAACTCAAAACAGCAGTCAAACAATACCAAAGTCAAAATTTTCAATGCAATTATCAAAACAGTTCAATTGCGTCATGCCAAAACTTGGAAAACTAAGAAAGCCATCATCCATCGAAATCAGTTAACCAGGCTGAATAAGATATTAGGAAAATATGTTGGAGGTGGGTAGGATACATATTGAGGAAACCACCAAACTGCGTGATGAGGCAAGCCCTCACTCGGAATCCTGAAGTTCAAAGTGAAAAAAGCAGACTAAAGAACGAATTGTGCAGACAATTAGCGACAGAAATCAAAAGAATTAATAGCAGTTGGAAACAACTGTGCCGGAATTTCCAGAACAGAGTTGGTTGGAGACTGCTTGTCGGCAGCCTATGCTCCACGACGGAAAAAAGGTGTAATTGATTATGTTACAAACACAAACCGAGTACACAATCCACATTACTGCCAGAAATTGATATATTTATATAAGGTTATTATGTACTACCAGAGAGGGAGTGTTCGCATGAACTGCATTTGAATTATTCTGAATGTAGATATTACTACTATTTATCGATTGGAAAAATGAGAAAGTAGAACTACGCTAACATATAACAATAAACATTATTAGGCCATATCAGCATTAGCCGTTTCTGGTTCCATAAATTATTGTCACTTTCTATTGAACGTATGCTTGAATCCCGATCATGCATTAATGACTGCAACAACTTCTAAGCGTCTACTGGATGTAGGTATATTACAGCAGGAAGGTCATTTAAATGTGGATCTGAATACGTCAGACATGTTTTTATGGAAGGATTATCTTAGCACCTAATCACCAAGTTTACATGGACTGAGGCTGCCGAACAAACGTTCAACCGAATCAAAAACATGCTAGACGATCGTTAGATGACGCTGCGACTGCCTGAACCCGGGAAACTGTTTACAGTGGCCACAGATACAAGTGATCATGGTATAGGTGCGGCATTGAGTCAGGCTGATAGAGTGGTGGAATACGCAAGTCGCATTCTCACACCCGTCGAGCAGAAGTATTCAACGATCGAAAAGGAGTGTCTAGCAATCGTGTGGGCAGTAGAAAAATGGAGACCGTACCTTTTAGGTAGACGATTTCACATTGAGACTGACCATAAACCCCTGCAGTGGTTGAGAACAGCAAGAGACCCCCGAGGGAAGTTGGCGCGGTGGATGATACGTCTGCAAGAATACGACTTCAGTATCGGCCATGTTCCAGCAAAAGAAAACGTAATGGCGGATTACTTGTCAAGATCAGACATGGGAGATGACCTTCCAGTGACAGCATACGCGGTGAGTAGTTTAGATGGAGACCCATTAGAACTCATCCGGCAACAGAAAGCTGACCCGAACCTTCGAGAGGTAATCAGAGTGATAAAAGAAGGAGAAGACGTAGACAAACGAACGACGGACAAGGAGGTAATAATGTTACTTAGGCAAAAGGCACGACTGAAAGTGAACGCATATGGAGTCCTGACCTGGCGGGATGACGACGAGAATTGGGTAGCAATAATCCCAAAAGATCTGCGCCAGGAGATGATTCGTGAATGTCACCAGGTAGCGCACACAGGTATTGCACGGACAACTGATTTGCTGCGGCAAAGTGCGTACTGGCCAGGTATGAGAGACAATGTTGCATGATATGTATTAGCGTGCCAGCGATGTCAACTAATGAAAGGGGATCGATGCATACGACCGCCACTGCAGTCAATTCCAGTAACAGCAGTTGGTGATTTGTGGTCAGTAGATGTTATGGGACCGTTCCCGCAGACGGCGACCGGTAACCGGTACCTGCTAGTGATGACGGAGCATGCTACACGCTGGATAGATGCCGTACCCATTGCAGACCAGCGGGCAAGAACAGTGACCGAAGTGGTGATTCGGCATATTGTAGCGTGCCACAGAATACCGAAAATGATATTAACGGACCAAGGTCCCTGTTTTGAAAGTGACGAGTTTAAAGATCGTCTAAAACAGTTTGGCATCAAGAGGATACGAACTACACCGTATCATCCTCAGACAAACGGGCTTACAGAGAGAAACAACCGGACGTTAAAGGAATGGTTAGCATCTAAAGGAGGAGATTGGGAGAAAGAGATACCATTGATTTTGTTGGCGCATCGTTCCTCCACACAAGGTACAACCAAGAAATCACCCTTCTCGCTCATGTATGGCAGACAACCGCGACTTCCATTGCACAATAAGACCTGGCCACAACAACAGAAATGGACAACAACAAGGTTAAGAAAAGAGAGGAGGGAGGCAATCAGGAACGTGGGAAAGAAACCAATATCAGACATAAAGAAGGCGGAACAACAGAGGAGAACGTGGAAACCTTTTGCAGTGGGGGACCTAGTAAAGTGTAGAGAACAAAAAAGTAGCATAGCAGGGGGATCAGGGTGGGGAAAGCTGATCCCAAAGTGGGACGGACCGTACGTTATCACGGAGAGACGCGGCGCGGTGTACACGATCCGGAGAGAAGACAAGCAGAAGCGCGTAAATGCTAGTCAACTGCAGAGATGGTTTCAAGATTATCCAGTGTATGAGTCACGAAAAGCACCAAAGAAGACAGCGGTACGGCGATCAGAAAGACTAAGACGACAGCTTATTAAAAGGCGGGACGAGTGTGGTGCGTGCTACTTACAAGTAGTATATGACGTGAGTGTAAACGTAATGTCTGGCAGCAGAAGATGGGGGGAAGATCAAGAAAGGAAGAGTTAGAAGAACACAATGGAATTTGTATGAAACGCATGAATAGTGACAATGGATAGATGTTTGGCAACAGGAACAGTCCAGTTCTATATGATGAACTGATATTTTGCAAATGAACAATTCACGATATGGTTTTCCGATTTTACTGAGTAACTCTGTAATTTTTGTTAAAAAAAATTCGTTTGCCCCACCTGTGTTCGCCTTCACTATCCATTGTCACTATTCATGCGTTTCATACAAATTCCATTGTTTTCTAACTCTTCCTTTCTTGATCTTCCCCTATCTCCCGCTGCCAGACATTACGTTGACGCTCACGTCATATACTACTTGTAAGTAGCACGCACCACACTCGTCCCGCCTTTTAATAAGCTGTCGTCTTAGTCTTTCTGATCGCCGTACCGCTGTCTTCTTTGGTGCTTT